GGTAGTTTTACCCCAAGGAGTCAATTTTATATTATGATCTGAATTTTCAAACTCATCTTTGTTTGTTACAATATTTGTTTTATTCTACTCATGTACATTTTGGTCCTGAAATCCAATTTTTCTTATATGGCGAGCTCTAACTTGATCTCCATCATCTTCTTCATCATCATTAAAATCCAAGTCATCAAGATTGGGTGTATCATTTGTCATATTTAAGTAAGGCTAACCCTGATTTATTTTTCAGTAACCCTAATTTCATGATTTACATTAATAATAAAAAAATTTAAGGGCATTTAAGTAATCTTTTGTTGTATTACAAAATCAAATCAGTTCTATGTAACCCAATTGGTTCAAACGGGTTGTCCAAAATCCAGTCGAGTCGATCTGTTCACTCGGTTTTTCAACACATCTGATCCAATAAGTGAATCAGATTGGTTAATGGTCCCGTTCTTGAATTTTCTGGTTCGACCACTCAATTTGATTTGGGCCTGATAAATAAGTTGTCATGTTTTGATTTCATTGGTTTCTTCTTTAGCTTTTAGGATGCCTTTTCTTGATGGATCATGAATTGTTTGATGCCAATATGGCTGTTAATGAAATGCATTTATACATTTATTATTCTCCGCTCTTCTCTCAAACCTAACCACCTACCTCCCAACAAATTGATTTGTGAAGCATAACTAAGCATAAGGCGTTTTACCATTTTTTATCTCTTTGCTCAGTGTTATCCAGGAGAGGATGATATCGCAATTGCACGGGCAGTCCTGCTGTAAGTTTTTAACATCAGATACTTGTCTGTAGTTCCTATGTTTTACAAAATTGGTGTAATGGATTTTATCTTTTGGTAATTGAATTTTTTTCTTGCTTCTAGATATCATGTTTTCCTTAGTTTTGTTGCTGCAGAAACATAGCATAACTAAAGAAATTCTTGTTTTGTGGATAATTGGACGTGTGCTATAGACGTGATAATGAGCAGTGCTATTTAGTTGAATAGGGTTATTCACTTATTTGATCTGCCTAAGTAACTTTTTCTGTGGTAATATATTGTAATTCCAAGACCAAAGAGCACTGTCATGCGATGTTACATGCGCCTGGACAAATGTTTTATCTTGAACTGCATTTGTAGTATCTCTCTATCATTATTTTATTATTTTTATAGGTATCTATCACAAGGAAATCTTAGAGATGCAAACAACCTCATGGATGAGCTTAAAAAGCAACTGGAACAGAAGCAACTTGAAATACCACACTCAGACTTGATCCAGGTTATTGGATATCTGTTGCGGACGTAAGTCTTCTCCATTGCATTTTTCCTTCTAATAAACTAAAGGATACTTGAATTTGGTTAACCTTTGTTTATGTGAAGCTCTTAGCTTTGCATTTGCAGGATAGAATGCTGGAACTATATAAGAGAAACTTCCTTGTTTTATCTTTGGTGCAATCAAAAGCCTACTACTGCCATGGTTTCAAATTTCGCCCATTGGGTGGTATTTACTGGTCATGGCTTGAACTAGCACACGGATGGCAGAACTGGTCTTTTTCCATTGATCCTTGCCTCATGCAGTGCACCACCCGCTGCCCCACCTTTCCTCCCAGTACTTCCTCTCCTCCTCCTCTGGTGCATCTTTTCTTTTTTCCTAGTGCACTTTTCTTATCCCTCTTTTTCTTCTCCTCCTACTCTGCTCCTCTTCTTCTGCTCCTCTCATTGTCAACTGGAATATCACTTTCTCGGTACCAACTGTATGTTGGCATACCATGTGTCAGTATATCGGTATATACTAGACTAGAACCAGTCCAGCCAGTAACCATTATGGGTTCTGGTACCGAAATTTTAAACCATGACTGATTTATATCATCCAGTACTTTACTAAATTGCCCAATATCGATACCGGTCCTTGGATGGGTTGGTACAGTACCAATGCGGTTGGACATACCATGTGTCAGTACACTTCCATATCAACCATTGTGGGTGCAGCTCGTGGAGGGGAGAACTGAGCAAAAGAGAAAAGGGGAGGTAGAGAAGGTGGAAGAGGAGGGTGACACATTGGTAGGAGGTGGTGATGTGACAATGATGCCGTGGGGAGGAGAAGGCTGTGGCAACATGGGGGGAAAGAGGATGTGGCAGTAATTTAGCAAGGAGATAAAGGAGGCAGAGGAGAGAGAGGAGAAAAGAATAATGACTATGACAATGTTAGGATCCCTTTATTTTCTGAGCTTTAAATAATATTTTATTGAGTTTGTCTAGCTCAGTAATAGTCAGATAGGGGTTTATTTGATATTTATTTATTTATTAGGAGTCCAAGTCCTTATGGACTCAGGGGTGGAACACTATAAATATGGATATATCTGTTTTTTTAATCTATTTATGAAATATTATTCCAGTCTTTTGACAAACCCAAGGAGGTCGCTCCCCTCGAAGTGATCATCCTTTTTCTCTCTCTTCTATGATAAAACCTTAGGGGCTCCATCCGCAGCTATCATCATCATAAAAAAAAAAAGAAGAGAAGAAGCTGACAGTCGCCCCATCTCGCTCGAGCGAGAAAGGGCCACTGTCGCTGCTCCTAATCCTTGACGTCTCGTTGCAGTTCCTCATCCCCTTCCAACAGCGCTCCTCCGAGCCCTCAGCAGTCGTCGTCGGCAGTCGCCCCATCCCGCTCAAGTGAGAAAGGGCCATCGTCGCTGCTCCTAATCCTCAGCGTCTCACCCACGCAACGACAGAAACAAGGCAAAGCCCCCATCGCCTCCTCACACCTTCTGTCGTAGTTGCTGATCATCGTTGTTTCCTCCTCCGTTGCTAACTAGTCGCTCGATCGTCGCGGCTTCCCAATCGAGCCCTTCCTTGCTCGACGTCCGTTGCTAACCAACCGCGCAATCGCGACGGCTTCCCAGATGACCCCTTCTTCCCTCCCTTCGCTGTCGTCGCCGCGCTTCCTGTGCAACTCATCTTCGTCTCCTCTGCTCTTGCTACAAACACCGCTGCATAAAGGCTACGGTTTTCACAGGGACCCTTGGCGCTCCCACAACCTTCTTTCCCGCCAGCCAGTGCCCATCCTAATCGTGTGGTCGCAGCATCCCGTCCCGCCACAGTTGTGTGATCTCCTCCCAACGACCACAGCGAGCCCTCAGCGGTGTTGCTCCCAGCCTCTCAATGCCCAAGGCTTCATCGATATCCTCGCAGCAACCCTTCACTCCCACAGTGCTGCCACCGATTGTCGTCACAGCAATAGCACCGAATAGGGCAATGCTGATGCCCTTGACTTGACATCAGAAAGAGGAGTTGGGGATTACAGATCTGCAGTCCTACGTAATGGCTACCGACAACTCATTTAAAACCCAACTTGAAGCCTTGGAAATTAGGTTTAAGAACTGACTGTAGGAAACCCTTAATGATTTCAAAAGGAGCATATTGGAGAGCTTTAGCAAGTTTCAACAAGATGAAAATTCAAGTCTTATGTTGAATCGATCTGGAGACACGGGAAAAAGGAACCAAGAATAGGACATAAGCTATCCACGTATAAAGGTGGAATTTCCAAAATGGGAAGATGGGGATCCGACCAGTTGGATCTTTAGGGCAGAAAATTTTTTTCGTTTTCACAGAACTCCAGAAGAATCCAAGGTGGAAATAGCTTCAATCCAACTAGATAGCGATGCAATCCAATGGTATGATTGGTACGAAACCTACCACGGGGTCCCCTCGTAGGAGCAATTTAAGAGAGTGCTTCTCGTTCGCTTTGGACCATCTAAATATGAGAATGTTGATAGGCAGCTCGCTAAAATTTGTCAGATTTCTACAGTACTAGAATATGATAGCAGATTTGAACGATTGTTAAATCAAGCCAGAGACTGGTCCGAATGGCAACTGGTGGGAACATTTATCGAATGACTTAATCCAGATATCTAATGTAAAGTCAAAGCTCACCAACCCGACACTATGACAGCTGCAATCTCATTTGCACATTTGCATGAAGAAAATTCAGCAGGGAGAATCGTCGAAACAGAAGTGACAACAAACAGATGATCAGTAAGTCAGTTGCCCCATATATTCGTAGCTGAAACCCTAACACCCGAAGACTAACCCGAGAAGAACTCAAGGAAAGATCAACGAAGGTTTTATGTTGGCACTGTGATGAAAAGTGGAGTAGGGAGCACTGATGTAAACAATGACAAATTCTGATGATCGAACTAATTGAGGAGGAACTAGAAGCTGACAATATGGACTCCGATTATGAAGGCATGGATTCTGATGAAGATGTTGGACCTATCATACATACAATGCATGCATTAGTCGACTATTCTAACCCGCAAACTATGAAAGTTGGAGGAATTTTGGAACATCAACATATTACAGTTTTTATTGATACTGGTAGCGCTAACAATTTTATGGACAGTAAGGTTGCTAATTGATTGGCCTACCACATTCTAGGCTGTGACAAATTCAAAGTAAGGTCGCTGATGAATGGATTTTAACTTGTGATAGCAAGTGTTCGAAGATAAAATTGATTATAAAGGGCCAAGAGTTGCTTGTGGATTTCCTTTTGCTACCATTGAAAGACTTTGAAGTGGTGCTTGGAATTGAATGGCCATCAACCCTGGGTGATGTTTCTTGAAATTTTTCTAAACTAATTATGAAGTTTTTTATTAATGAAAAGCAAGTGATCCTAATGGGAAAACGTGGAAGTAAGGTCACAACTGTCACTAGCCATCGGATGGAGAGGGTTCTTCAGAAGACTCTAATGGCTACTACACAGAAAGGCCAGCCTATTGTTTACACTATCAAGAAGTGGAGATCGTACTTACTTGATCAACGGGTTATGATGCGTCGTAAATATCCTGTGACCGAAGTGTTGAAAAAGAAGCTCCTAGAGTTTGATGCTGCTCAGCCTTGAGGACAAGGCTAATTTGAAAGGAGAGGAATTGTTATGATCCCTTTATTTTCTGAGCTTTGAATAATATTTTATTGAGTTTGTTTAGTTCAGTAAGAATCGAATAGGGGTTTATTTGAGATTTATTTATTTATTAGGAGTCCAAGTCCTGATAGACTCAGGGGTGGAACTCTATAAATATAGATGTATTTGTTTCTTTTCATCTATCTATGAAATATTATTCCAGTCTTTTGACAAACCTTAGGAGGCTAATTCCCTCGAAGTGATCAAGGAGGTTGATTCCCTTGAAGTGATCATCCATTTTCTCCCTCTTCTTCTACGATAAAACCCTAGAGGTCTTATCAAACAATTGTCAAAACTTCTATATGGTTTCCCACCATAAATGCTGATGTCTAGAAAATTTTCTACAATTTGATGCATATACATTTATTGTCACCTCTATTCAAAAATATATTTGCATGCTTTCACATGCTTCTATACAAACCTTATGTTTGTGGAAAGATTTATTGTCCTTTTTCACATTGGCTTTTTCGCTAAAGCTGTACATTTTTTTTTGCACTCTTGGTCAAGGTATGCAATACCGTACCGTACCGATGTTTCGCGGTTGGCTCGGTATGGTACGGTACCGTGTACCGCTCGGTACACCAGGGCGTATCGAGCAGTTTTAAATATTTCTTCCTCTTACTGTAGCACTGTAATTCTACTATAGTATAGCATTGTAGCACTGTAGCACGTTCCGTCCGGTAGCAGGCGGTCCGCGTATCGGTATGCCGTCGGACCGGTACGTACCGCCTGTACCGAGCGGTACCATTCGAAATTGCATACCATGCTCTTGGTACTTGAAAATGTGGAACTGATCTCCTATATGGAATTGCTAATTTGTCGATTGAAGAAACTTCTGCATGTTTTAAGTGCTAGAGCATGAGCAACTTGATTTGTATACTTGATTTATATATATGCAATGATGAGTTAGTTGTCTTTTTCTTATTAAGTATTTTTTGTCAATGTAATTATTTTGTTGCATGATGGTATTACATAATATGTTTATCCATATATGCAACTGATCATCAATCTGTGTCATGTGAATCAGGTTGGAAAGAGATGCTTTTCCACTGTTTAAGATTTTAAGGCAGAAGTACAAGTCAAGCATAGACCGGGAAACTTTGTTTGATGAGGTAATATCTTTTTCCTTGAATAGGTTAGTATTTTCTAATGAAACATGCTAAATCTGCTTCCAAAAAAAGGTTAAAAATCATGACATACCTGTAGGATGTAGCAGTACCTTTTCCTTCAATCTCACCTCCTGTCTTCTGAGACTTGGCAAGGGGTGGCTTGGAAGTCCTGAACTGTCAAATAAAAGGGCGTTAGTGATAAACATTTAACGTAAATGTCAGTTTTAGTGGACTGACACTCCAAAAGTTAGGTTTAATTCTTTGATTCATACTTATTTAGGCTGGTTTGCCCCAAATAAATAGTGTGCATTGGTCACTGTGACATGGTGTCAAGGCCCTCTGTTGGTGCTATCAACATGTCAGCACAAGATGTTTCACATGGTACCACAGTTACAGCCTTGAGCAGATGTTAGTGTGTATTTTTTTATTTGAGACCTAATAGAGTGAATCTTGAAACTAATAGTCATTGACTAATTTCATTGATGGTGTCATAGAAAATGAAATATAATTTGTAGCAATAAAAAACACTTTTTTTATGTTAGTTTGTTTTAAGTGCATTGTCGTTGAGGCAAGGCCCAGCACAATGGTGAGGTTGCTCTTCTGTAACCTGGATGATCATGGTTCAAATCTTAGAATTAGTCTATTTGCTTGCAATGTTAAGGCTTCATATATTGACTGTACTCGAACTGCACATTGGTGGGAGCCTGCACTTGGATTGTGCTATATTATATACATTTAAGCTCTCTGTTGCACTGGTATTTTGCTGATTATTTGGTCTACCTGATAATCCTGTAGCTATTAGATGAAATCGCAGAAAGGTTTTATGGTGTGCGACGCAGAAGTGGCCTGCAAGGCATCTTTGGTGATCTCTTTAAGGTGGGCTATGATATATATTGATTTTAAGTGATACTGGTTATCCTTGTTTGTTTACTAGGAGATATGTGGATGAGTATACAATGGTACTTTAAAATGCAGTACTCTAAACAAGAACCATATATGATTTATAAACTCAGCAGTATGGCAATGATTTCAAAGATTTCAATAAAAACTCAACTGACGTTTTCACAACTGAAAAGTTCTGCTCCTTGTCTCGTATTCTTTTGCTTCCAGAGAACACTTATGTGATCTGACTTTCATCTTATATTAAATTTTAAATCAAGAACAAAATGATATCTTTTGAAGTGAATGCTTCTAGGCAAGATTATATCCTTGTGTGAGAGACTGTGCACTATCGGTTTTAACCAATAACTTGTCTTGTATTCTAAGAGGCATAAAAAGGCTGATAAGCTGCTAAAGGAATATACTTCTTAGTTCTTACAAGGTTTGACAAATAAACTTTGTATTATTATATGATTTCCTTTTTTACATGCCAGTTTCTTGTAATGTTATCCTAAAGTTTACATGTGAAAGTTGCTTTAGCAAAAACAGTATGCTCCTGCCACAGCAGTTGCAGGGTTAAGATGGTCTATAGGAAAAGTCCTTTTAGTCTATATAATGCATGTAGGGAACATTGAATGATGATATCTATTTTCGACAGAAGACTCAGTAATAATTGTTCATTATTTTATACTCATACAGAAGGTAGTACTAACTTTTAGTCTATAGAATGCATATATGGAACATTGAATGGTGATTTAGTTTTGACAGAAGGCCCAGTGATAATTGTTCTTTGTTTTATACTCATAAAGAAGGTAGTAACTAATTCAACTTTTGCTGCAGATGATGTGAGGGCTGGCTTCAGTGTGAAGGTTATATTCGAGTCTTTAAGATTTCCCCTTCTCTTTTCTCTTTCCAAAGAAAGTGCAGAGGACATTTGAATGCCATGGCAAGATGCAGCCTATGTTTAATTCTTGGAAGGAAAGGATTTCCCTGTAGCTGGTTTGCGATAAAGATGAGAAGATCTGGATCGATGAGCTGAAAGATGCCAAAGAGGATGGGTTATGGAGCATTCTTTGTGCGTAAGGGATATTTCTCTAATATCATGATGAATTATGAATGATTGGTGCCTCCAATTTCTGAATTTCGTGATATATGTCTTGTGTGGTGCTTGATTCTTGATATTACTAAGAATTATGTTGGAGTATAGTGTTTCATGGATTTGTGCCACCCTCTCTGTTAAGTTGAGATTCAGGCTAAGTGTTTTTTGTCTTTTGATGCATTTATATAAATTATGAAATGTTTTCAATATATTAAGTCTCTGCGTCTTATTGGTGTTGGATTTAAGCATGACTTCCACAAATATTTCTGCTGATCAAGTAATACTTCAGATTAATGATCAATCCCTTTGTAGATTGTTCTTACAAAAAAATAAGATGTGGTTAAATCTTGTTGCTTGTGTACTGTATATCAAAATGTAAATATTTGATTATTACAAAAAAAATATATGTTAAACTTTTACGCCTGATTCCATATCTCCCCAAGAATAGGATTTGAAATCTCTTTCCTTCCATTCAAACTCAAAGAGTAACAATCATCTAGTCCCATTCCTGTAAGTGCCACCTTAAATTTTGCTACAAGAACATCTATTAACACAAGTGTACAAAAGCCTTCATGCATGAGAAGAACAATTCACCAATTGATTCAAGAGAGATGTTGGAGAGGTGAACTTCACTGGTCACCCTACAAGCAACTTGTGCTGGTCCTTCACATTTGCAGTAATAAGGTGGAGAGTGGGCACCAAGTTCCACTGATCAGTGTAGAAAAATAACCAAAACAGGCCAAAGACAAGGAATAAAATTCATGATTCCTCAGACATGCACTGGACATGATATGGTGGAGCCAACTGCCTCTTATCTGTCAGATTTAAACCCACCCATCCTGGGAATCTTTCAACAACCTGTCCACAATATCTGTTCCATCAAAATAATTATCCAAATGAAAGATAAAATAAATTATAAGTAACTGCACCCTTGTAATGTCAAATATGGATGCAAGTTTGAGCTACTGTTTCCAGTGACACGCTTTATTCTTATGAATCAATCAAACAGCGAAGCTTATCCTTCATGCTTCAGTCAGCTGTGATACCCTAGTAATTCTTCTTCCCAGATTATATGAAATGATCCTTGCCTCTTTTAAATTGCAGTCTAGCTAGAGAACAAATATTGTAGCAGTAAAGCCTCCAAATTGCTCTAATTTGTAATTGGAGAACGGTATATTTCTGTCAGTTGGTTCCCTAATCCTTATGTTGATCTTTTGTATTTGAAGGTTAAAAATCGAAGGATGAGAAGGAGAACAAGAACACTTCCAAGAACAGCACAAACATTCTTTTTAGTAATTAACCTCATTGGAGACTGCATTCACTGCT